GTTTACTTTTCATGATGGTGCAGCCCGTAGATTTTTGTCCCTTTCACCTTCGGTATATCGTTTCTAGCTGCTAAACTTTTCCTCTGACCACTGTGTCCCACTTTCTTTTTGGTTTTTGCTTACTTGCCCACCCACTCACTGTTTTACTTACGGATCCTTAAGCTACTGTACGTCGATGCATTACTTCAAACGTGATTCCAAGGTGAAAGTAGCTTGTATCAATCATTCTGAAAATTGTTTCGGCATCAACCACTATTTTGCCCCCCCCCCTTCTCCTATCGCTAAGCACGCATGCATTACGACGTTTCACTACCCCAGTCAGTTCAAGCGTACCATTTCAGCTCATTCGCTGAATCTAGACTCGCATCGCACGACGTAATCTTTAGCATAACACGGAAACGTGATTACACTGCACACTTTCTCATCGTACTGAACACAAAACCATGTCTCTTTCTTTCTTCTCCAGGTTTCGAGCTCTACCTCTTTATCGGAAATTCCCCCAACTTGGACAAACATGCTCACTGAGTACACTAGCAGATCTTTCGTTATTGGATAAACTAAAGCAATCCGAGCGCAATGTGACCGTCGATGTTTCCCACCCCAGTGGCATCGCAATGTTAGCTATGAACTTTCGTACTAAGAAGAACGCTCTGAGCAAGGTCTTCGTGAACGACCTATCAGACGCTGTCGGTCTTCTTGAGAAGGATCAGAAATCTAAATTGGCCATCATCTGCAGTTTGGTAAATATTATTTTCTGTCTTTTTTTCAACGCACTGTCCTCTTGTTCAATATGTATTCTGTCCTTTTCGCATACCTGCCCAAAAATGGGGTACCTTCGAAGAGGTGTTTCATCGAGTCTACCACTACGCCATTTTTAAGCTCCGTACACATCTTTTTTTTTACCAGCGACACGAGCTTTCTATGTGCAATGTTCCTGCGCCTGGTTAATGTTTTTTACCCCATTCTAGTTAGGTCTTTTTTTTTGATAACTACTCTTCTTATCACGATGGTCAAGTATTGTTCATTCTACTGTCTCCTCCACATATCTGTCACTGAATTTTACCTGCTTCCGCACACTTATTCGGTTTACAAGGTTCCCGTTATAGGGGCGGACAAATCACGCTCATTTTTTCTACTGCAGCATCCATCTATCTTCATACATATTTCACTATTACCAATAATTAGCTAGAAATGCTTGTTAGCATGGTGAAAACGAGAAGCTCATCACTTAGGTTGAAGATGAAACCAGCAACTACTATAAAGCACATCAATGTCGCTGCTAATAATCCATTTGTTACCGCTATAAACACGAGACCATCATTTAAACTCTGAAGGAAATCGAACATGGCTGTAAACTACCCTCCTCCACCTCGCTACCACTATCGCACCCCGAAATGACCAGTCGGATTACGGCTGTTGAAGAGAAAATTACTGTTCTGAAAAATAAAATCAAGAATTTAGCACTAGTTACGATCAGATCTCATGATTCTGTGTCCTATTTTGAGGATCAGGGAATGTTACACTTAACCAACTATACAGTATCTTCAATCACCTCCGAGACACAAGAACCCCTGCGTAAACCGCGAAATATCATTTTCCGTAACTCGTATGATTAGCTAACTATCGGCGGTTAAAATACCCTTCTAACAACATACATTACGGATGGGATCATCTGTCTACTCCTCAGATTGCAAAGGCAAACGTGATCTCATGCGCAACACTGCTTCAATTTTCCAATGCAGCAGCATTTGTACGCATTAAACGATTAATTAACGCATGAAATACTTCCAATAACACTATGATCAAACACGATCGAACAGTACTTCAAAAGAGATTAACTCAAAAGAATAGCCACTTAGCCCCTCGAAATCCCTGTGTTCCAATTAGTCTACTAATGAAACACCATTAAAACCAGATGATACTTTGCATTCCAGCCTCCACTGACCTTCTGAGATTTTTCCAATCGGTAGTGGTGGTGCGTCCCTCTTCAACAGCACCTACCAAGCTGAAATATGCCTAGTAATCAGACACTTGTAGATCACGCTCCTACTACCAATCACGAATCTAAGCAAAATGTGGCGGTAGCTCTGCGTGCGACGTATCGAGTTCAGAACCGAAATAAGCATCATCAACTTTCCTCACCAAAAACAATTATGTACACGATCCAAGTGAGCATGTTATGATTTATCTCTGCCTAGTCGTGGATTAGGCGAATGCATCGGGAAGCACCTTCCCAAATTTCACTACAGTGACATATTTGTGAATCCCAACAACACCGAAGTGACCACTACAGGGAGGTCGTAGTATCCCACCAAATCAGCTGAAACAAAATGTACACTAACAGGCTTCCGCATATAACACTGAAACCGATATCAGGCTAAGCAGGGGAATACCGATCCAATATCTGCCCACAGTACCCCCGAGTACGATTCCAACTGTCACGACTTTAAGTTGGCAAAATCCAAATATGTGCAACACCGAAATAAACAACAGAATGGTGGTAGGTCTTACTGACTTACGCGCACAGCGGAACAGCCTCTATTCACCTCAACTCATAACCTACGCATCATTATCATTACTAAACCGACAGCATCATAATTTGAGTGAAAACCCCATTTTGGACTTTTGTACCCCCACCTGCTACGAGTGCATACTTTTTCAGCTAATCGTATTCCCCCGCGTCCTCCCCCACCAATCGAGCCACTATCACATGCCATGATGAGTCAGTATGATTTAGTTACTGAAGTGTCTTTCATTCATTGCAATACCATACACTATTTTACGATATTACATGTTCGTATTACTTCGCTTTTAGAAAAATATTATATTGATCTATCGATAGAGTTGCACGGATCTAGATTTCTACTTACTCCCATAATACACTATTTAGTATTCACAGTTGCATTTTAGTATTCATATGAATAGTTCCGTAGTTTTGGTTTTATCCGGGAGTTTACGCGTTGCTCAAAGTCCCATGCAAATTTGTCGCGTATCACCAACGAGATCCATAACCCGCGACACCTCATTTCTGGGTCACGCATTAAGACCACTGGGCCACAGGCGGGATGGGCCGGCAGCCGTCGTAACCAAGTGTACAGTCGATGTGTTGCTCGGTTCACTGAGAGGGACCATTCGGTTGCAAATGCTTCAGCGCCAATCTAGGGTACATCTTCAGTACACTAACCGAATGTGTAACTTAGGCGAGCGTCCTTTCTGTCACCATTTTATTTTGCCAATGCAATCACCTACATGCCTCATTCTGGGATGAACGCTGATACCTTTGCTGCCAGTGTGTTCGCATAGGAAAGCTGCCGAGGGTTCTGCAGTACATGCTCATATATCGTTTGGAGAAGCATCATCGAATAGTATCGTTTCCATGTGGGTTCTTTCGACGAACAGTACCATATATGACCGCATTCATATAGTGGTTGATCTGACTTAGCTGAATTGTCATGTGGTCGTACTTGATACTTCTGTGGCGTCTGTGATTGCGTGGCCAACTCTACTCCCTCACGAACTACTTTAAAAAATCGAATGAGCACCTTCATCACATTTTTTACCTCAAAGATTTTGCCGTTCGGTTATCAGCACGTATATTCTGCCTGCTCACCAATCGGATTAGCTTGAAGGACGGTGCCACTCATTCACGCCGTGCTATTTAGTGCCTTTCAGACATGGAACTAGATGCCGACCGTTTCGGGCTAGTTACTCATTATTATTATTGTTATTATTATTATTATTATTATTATTATTATTTTTATGTTTAGTATCGCATGACTTGGTCTCCCACTCATTACCAACAGAAAACTCAGTAGACTGTACAATTATTGCCTGAGAGTTTACTTACGTTTAAGTCTAAGGTCCGACATGTTCCGTCATGGATAGCAGATTTGTCCACTAAAGGTTGATCCATAGACAACAGTCTAAGCACTAGCATATAGTCTAGTCGATTCCTACACGGAATTCGATAATAGTGGTTTTTTTCTACGTGATCAGCAGCGTACCAGCTTCGCATGTCTGAAGTGTATGGTTCTAACTACAAGCGTCGTCTTGGATGCCTTGTCAACTTCCACACAATTACAATCGCACTGTTCTTTGTCCTCATAGTCCTGCTAGAACGGCACTGTAGCGCTATCGATTTTCGTCGTTTAACTGTAGGGGTTGTTCTGCACCATACATGAACGCGGGATGCGTTTTATCCTGAGTGCATCATCGGTTCGTAATATTATCTCGCTTGACAGCATAGCCTGTGGTGTTTACATCCATACGATCCATCTGTTCTCACAGTGATGATTCGATCGGTCTTAATTTAGAAGCGCTGCAAATGTACAATGTAGATCAGTTCGATTATTGTTTGGAAAAGTATTTCCTACGTCCTTAACCTACTTCCGCTCAAGTTGTTTTTTCAGATTACCCATCAACGTTGGGTACTTTACCCTCTGGAAACGACGCAGACTAGTGATATCATGACTAGCGAACACCTTTGCTTATATATATATATATATATATATATATATATATATATATATATCCCCGCCGTGGCAGCAATTTGTGTGCATGTTAATAAGATGCCTACACGTTAACACAATTCGCCTCGACTATACTGGCTCCAGGAGACTGCTAGTCGTCGCTGAGGGGAAGACGGGGTGCACGGTCTTTGTGGCCGTACTAGGCTCAAGGAGTGGTTCTATCCAGTGTGGAGCGGACTGCGGTCCTGCCATCGCCTTGTGTTCATTTGGTGCGCATGATTCCCCACATAGGTGCACAGGAATGTTGCTGCTGTGCATGTCGAAGGAGCATGGGCCGGCTCCGCTGATGGAACGTGGCTCCACCCACATACCTCCAGGTCTTATTCCTTCTGGTTTACACTAGATATAGGATGTGCGGATGGAGCTGTGGATGGCGCAGCGCTAGCCACCCATGGTCTATGCGTCCTATATCTGTCCTCAGTGACAGGCAAATCCGGAACCGGTTGACACCAACCATATGTATATATTCACAGCTTGGCGTTTGTTCAAACCTAACAGCGGCGCCCTCTGTGTCGCAGATGCTTTCGGGTTCTCCATAATTAGGCGCAGAATCTAGGCACTTGAATCCTGCTTGTTGGATCGACCCGTATCTGGACCCCAAAAGCTGCTAGTATTCTCGAAACGTTATCACTATACGCCCAGCCATCTTTCCTTTCATCACGCTCTTATTTATTTTGCGTCCCATAATTCTTCTCATTTCTTTCACGGGCTGCATTTCCCTCTGCTCAACGTTCCATTGTCCATCCACCTTCTTTCTCAGATACCGGATGTTTTCTGTGCCGGGGCGGATCTCAAAGAACGGGCGCAAGTTCCGGATGAACAAGTTCCTGCTTTGGTGGAAGGTTTACGTTCCCTGTTTCAGCGCATCTATTCCCTTCCCTTCCCTACTGTTGCCGCTATCGATGGGGCAGCGCTAGGCGGAGGATTAGAGTTGGCGCTAGCTTGTGACATTCGCTTTGCCGGCAATCGTCCTCCGTGTCAGATCGGGTTGATTGAAACCCACTGGGCCCTGTTGCCCGGAGCTGGGGGGTCGCAACGTTTGCCACGTATTATCGGCGTTGCAAAAGCAAAGGAACTTATGTTTTCCGCTCGTAGACTCACCGCACCTGAAGCCGCTGAACTTGGCGTTGTCAATGCTTCCGTCAACCAGAGTGATGTGCCGGACGCATGGAAGGACAGGCCTGCATTGTACAGATCGTTCCTGTACGCCGGCGAGGTGGCGACGAAAGGACCAATCGCCTTGCGTCAACTTAAACGCGCTGTCAACGCTGGCCTATCGTCAGGTTCGCTGGAGCGTGGCTTAGATATTGAAGGAGAATGCTATCGCGTTCTAGTTCCCACAGCGGATCGAAAAGAGGGAATGAAGGCTTTCATGGAAAGACGAAAGCCAATATACCATGGTCATTGATCAGCACACGTGGTGTTTTCCCCACAAAATGGTATTTGCTTATTGCATATGCGTACTTTTTCACTTAATTTGTAACTTGCTTTTTTACTACAAATGAGAGATCCATAATATAGGTTACCGTGTCTTTTCCACAGTTTTCTCGGAATGCACGATACTCCTGGAGCGCCGTCACCCTTTTGAGTTTTGTCAAACTTGAATCCAAGTTGTTCGTCACCCGCACCAGCGTTTACTAGCCAATGCAATATGGCACACCTTTCGAGTATGCTCCTTTAAGTTTTATCTTTCATCAACTGAGACCGGTTGCATCCACCTATCCGGTTCTGTTCACTAGGTTTTAGTGGTACATCTGGGTATTCATACGTTGCCCCACCTGTCGACATTTGCGTCCCAATTCATCTTTCGGTTACGAGGTTCGCGAGTGTTACGCTTGTGTTCAGGACACTAAATGATTCTACACACCTTACATTCGTAGCTTTATGTTGGCATACCTCAGGCAATACCACATATCAAAGACACCACCGATATATTCTGACACTCAAGTTTGTCGTTATCTCATTTCACTTAGAAAAGGCATTATCAGTACGCCAATACGTAGTATCGACGCTTCGCTGCCGCGCAACCATCAGTCTCCCGTGGACTAGGATACTGTGAGGGTCGTCCGGCCCCTTGCGGGCTCGAACCCGTGCCCTCAGATTACAAGGCAGTCTTGTGATCTGGAAACATTATAGTGTTGCTCATCCCAACACTGGCACCCCAAGACCGCGATTTCGTGCTGGTTGGGACTCATCAGTTCGAGATAGCCTGAGTTGAGCTGGAACTCAGAGCCTAGTGGCTCATGGTTGACGCCATAAGCACTATGCCACTGAGATCCGCGAGCAACGCTCGGTACAGCGGAAACGAATTCAAAGTTAGACTTGGAGAATGCGCTGTGTGGTTGGGTTGCTACAAGCAATCTCTATTGAGACTTCGGTTTACCCGAGGTGGACCTCGGTCATTCCGATCTCAAAGTCCGTAAGTAAAATGGAAACATTATAGTGTTGCTTAGTCTTGTGATCCTTAAAGTCACGAGCCGGCTATCTCATCTCACTTATGTCGGCCAGTGGCTGAGTGGTTCGCGCTTTTGGTTTGCAACCATACGGTCATCTGTTCGGATCCGCGTAGGGGCGTCCTCGCTGTATACTCGTTCCGCGTGCAACTGATGTTGGTCGCGCGGCAGCGAATCGCCCTTACAGTGTACAGCTGTCACATTATTATTGTTCTCTTGAGTAGCGGAGTCAATAGATGTGCCCCATGCTTTTCCGCAAGCACTAGCTTGCCGTGTATAGTGATCTAGATCCATGACCTTCAGTTGCCTGCTCTTGCCGAAGGGATTTGTAGATATCTCGTCCGCGTACAATAGTTTGTGTTCGTGTCACTGCTTCTGCCTTCTACGATAGTTGGTTGTTTACCTCACTGAATAAATGGTAGCCACCTCCACGCAGATCCTTGCTGTTTGTCATCGGCACGCATCATGCATGTGGATGAACTCATTCATGGTCTTTGTTGCACTAACATCAAATGTATGCACCCTCCTCCCATTAGTATCTCATCTGTTTGTATGAACTGATACTCTGCTCCCATGCTTCTTTGGGTATCATAGTTTTGTACCTCATACTCTCTTGTTTTGGCTCTTTGGATTCACGCCAGCTTCCGCTTTATACCTTTAAGATTGATCTATTTAGTAAGCAATGTTGCTTTAGAGGTTAAGAGATTCCGTTATTCTCTTGCTGTACCCAATCGTTCAATCGAGTTTGTGCAGCGGCACTAGGTTTGGACCTGGTCTATACAATGTCTTTCGATTAAAATTATCTTTCGTACCTTGCCGATTTCTGTTTCTTTGTTCGTGTTGTCGTCACTCCTAGTTCAAGAGTCATTGGCTGTGCGTGACCGGGTTCCGCTGCAGTTCAATTTATAGGCATACGAACTAGCTGGACTTCTCACCTCTTGCTGAACACCACGAACAGACTACTGGTAAGGAAGCGACAAGTAACTATTTGGTACTCTCGTAATGGTCTTCTGCGATTCCTTGTCAATAGGTTATTGCCTGCGTTCCACCATTGGAGCAGACACAATGGCAGGACTTGCAGGGTTTAAGCGCATTCTGCATTTTATGACACGGATCAGTCCTTGGCCTCTTGATCTTTTGTTCGACATTTATAGCTACCTCCGTCATGCCGATGTAGGTGCATGACGCATCACCGTGTTAGGCCAATGCTTCCCTACTTTAACACATGTAACAAGTGTATCTAAGCTGGGTTAGTAAGTTCCTAGCACAAATCATATATATATATATATATATATATATATATATATATATATATATATATATATATATATATATATATGGTTGGCGACATCCGGTTTCGGATTTGCCTGTCACTGTGGCCAGTCACAGGACGCCTGCGCCTACAGAGGGACCATGGGTGGCTTGCGGTGCACCACCCACAGCTCCAACTACACACCCTATATCGAGTGTAAACCCGAAAGAATAAGACCGGGAGGCATGTGGATGGGTGCCACTTTCATCAACGGAGCCGGCCCATATTCCTTAACAGGCGAACACAATCACGCTATATTTGGGGAATCGAGCGCACACAAGGCGGTGTCTAGACCGTAGTCCGCTCCACACTAAGTGCATGGAACCGCTCTTCGAGCTTAGCGCGGCCACAAGGACCGTGCACCCCGTCCCCTCCAGCAACGACCAACTGTCCTAGAGCCAGTATGGACGACATAGTGGCTAATGAACAGGTAGGCACCTTGTCAACATGCACATCAAGCGCAGCCACATCGGGGATATCAAGCAACAGCCAATCACTTGAGAGAAAGATAACAAATGAAATAAATCGAGTAATACATACGGAAACGGTGACATAAATCTTAAATTAATGAGCATATGAAATAAGTTGTTTACAAAAGAATCCGGGATAAGTTCCCGCGATCGGAAAGTATATTTTACGGAAATGCCACAAACACGAAAATTTTATCGAAATTAACTACAATTGGCCTAAGCGACGTGCGCAAGTTTATAGAAGAGAGTTTAGGTAAGCATTTGTATGAGAAAGAAAAGCATTGGGACAAAATCGATAACCCATCATCTGAAATAAATAGACTTAGCATGCATGGCTCAGAGTTTCCCAAGGCAGTCTCCAGGATCTCGTCCAGGACGCAGTTGTACAAGAATGGCGAGGCTGGGTAACCGTGTCTAACACCGATCGTGATACTGAAAGGGAGCGAAATAACTTCGTATACTCGCACGCGGCCCGAAGTTTGATGGCAAATGGCACGGAGAATGCTGATGTACTTCCCAGGTACGCCTCTCTTCAGTAAGCAGTCCCAAAGAGCCACTCTGTCAACACAAACGTGGCTCGAATTTCCAAGAATATGACTATGGTTGATCGACTGAACATACAACGATGTTCAAGTATCTGACGGATCGTAAAGATGTGGTCGATGCAGCTGCGACCCGAGGGAAATCCAGCTTGTTGTTTACGCAGGTTCTGTTCCCATACGCAACTGAACCTCCGCAAGATTAGGGCAGCGAGCATTTTGGATGCGACACAAATGAGACTGATGCCACGATGGTTGGAGCAAATTGTTTGATCTCCTTTTTTGTAACCAGTTACAATTTCCGCCAAATTCCAGTCAGATAGAATGGTTTCAGTAGTCCAAATCTGATGGAAGAGTGATGTCAGTTCGCGAGTGAGAGCAGGTCCCCTATATTTGAAGAGAGCATGAGGAAGTTCATCTGGGCCTAATGGCTTGTGGCCCTTCAGTAGGCGAAACCCATAGGAAACCTCAGTCTCAGTTGGTGGAGAAACATCCACGCACCAGGGAGCACTGTGAACGCCAGAAGACGGACTCGGTTGCATTGGTGGCCAGTTGTAATGATTTTCCAATTGCTCTGCCCATCGTACCAGAAGGCGTCGTTCTCACGCAAAACCTCACTCACTGTTGGCTTTCTGTTCCTCGTGGAGCGAATAAGTTGGAAGAGTTTGCTGGAGTTTCCTGATGTGGCTGCCAGCTCCATCTCAACGACTCGTTGTGTCCACCAAACCTCGCGATCCTTCTTGAGGAGCTGTCTGAGCTCAGCTTTTGTGGTTGTGCGTGGTGCGTTGTGCACAACTCCAGCGGAAATTGCTCGACGACTTTTCATTAATTGGAAAGACTGTACAGAGATCCAATGACTGGCACCTCGTCTAGTGAAGCCACAGACCAAAGTAGTGGACTTTCGTAAGATGCTCTGCATCTGTGCCCATTGTGTCTCAACATTGGAGGCTAGTGTGTTCTGAAATGCTCCTAGATCATTTGTGACGGTGAGCTTGTCTGTGTCAAGCCGTTTCCGGCGTTACTGTTGGGTGTCTTCAAAGCGCAGAACGAACTTAGCACACACGAGCGCATGATCTGAAGTCAGGTAAGTGTTCCAAATTGACTTGCAGTCCGTTATGTAGCCTCGCCAACGGTAACTAACAACGATGTGGTCAATTTGAGTCCAAGCTTGACTAGGCGCCGGAGGTCGCCAGCTGGCTCGTTGGTGCCAGGAATGTCGGAAAATGGTGCTCATAAGGAACAAGCCGTGGCCGGCGCACAGTTGACGGAGTCGTTCGCCGTTTTCCATGGCTATGTTGACCCCAAATTTCGCGCTCATGTACCTCTAGTCTACCTACTTGCGCATTTGGGTCTTTGGTGAGTATCGCGATGTCCGTGCGGCGTTTCTTACGGAGGAGGTCGGTGAGTTGGCAGTAGAACTCGTCTTTAGCTTCATCCGGGCTGTAGTCCGTGAGAGTGTACGTCGCCACAATGAATACGCATCGCATACTGGTCACGTGGCTGGAAGATCGCACTGAGCTTTCCAAGCGGACTACACAGAGACGACTGTTTTAACCGGGAACCAGTCAATGAGCGCGGCCTCAGTACGCGCGTTTAACGCAACTCCTACACCGGCGCAACCAGCGGCTGCCGCTGTCGTATCTCCGGATCAGCGCAAGGATAATGTACAGTTGGAACTTGGGGATGGTGAGAGCAATCGCAGCGTTTTGCTGGAGTCTTGTAAACGGGTTTCGGTTAGGCAGCAAACGTCGATTGAGAGGGTTTACAAGGTGCGCACAAAAGCAGCTTGTGAACCAACCTGCATGAGCGTTCGAACATTGAACGTAGCTAGCTTGAAAAGCGAGCGGGGTACAATAAAAGCCTTGCTGTTGGTATTAGAATGTGTGCGATCGGTTTTGAGCGGTTCATTGACGAGGCCAAAGATACCGCTTTTATTTGCAATGCACTTCGGGAGACTCGAAATTGGAGGGGGTTGCTAAGAACAGGAGAGTTGAATAAACTTGGAAAGAAGAACGCGGTTTGTGGTGCGGCAGAGTGAGTTTTTGCATGTCGGGCCGCTAGCACTTCGGCCAAAGAGAAAGAGTTCAGAGAGCTAGAAACTTGAGCAGAGAGTTGTAAATCCATCATCTCATGTGTTCTGTGGGCATACAGCTTCCCGGTTGCCCAGGCTGAGGAAGGGGGTTGACTTAGGGAGCCCCACTCGGAGCCTTTGATCATAGGGACCTGACCCGCAAGGCAGCGGGGCGAATTCAAGGAATCGCGCCCATTGGAGCCGGTGACCGATTGCACTGTTCATACGCTTTCCGTTTGGTTGGCTGCCAAACAGGGGCCTAATACTCCTAGTACTTCAACGTGAAGCCGAAGGATTACAATGCTCCAGCGAGGAGAAGCAAGCGGTAGTGACTTTATTTAGTGGCGTCACATCCTCCTCGTCGCAGTGTTTTTAAACAAACATATGTGGCTTTTTATAGGGAGAACGCTTGTCAGGCGAAAACCCATTACCTATTGGTACACTGCCGCCGAACTTTTTGCTGGGACGGGATAATCCCGAACCACCCAGCTGGCACCACGAGTAGGTAGTTCGGCAAGGCTGAATGATTTAACACCATACTTCCTGGGCTGAATTTGTTCGCACCTGTAAAGTGTCCACTCGTCTGATTGCGCCGTATTCCTCACACCAGGAGGCCAGATTCTGCTGTTACTGTGGATTAGATTCACGCAGTGTTTGTAACAATGCTAACTTCAAAGAGTTTCCATTAGAAAACGATATGCTGCTCATCTGCAGCATCGTAAACTCAAATGCTACTCCGGTTTCACTTGGCTGGTTGACGGACGCGGGTTTCGAGCGAATTAGACACCCCTAGAAGGGACTTATTCCCCCTTGATGTATTTTACGTCAGCAATCTGCGTCTCGCTATGATTGTGGATCACCGTCACTTGGATTGGTGATGGGACTATCCAATCGGAATGAACAGAAAGACCTGAGTTTCCCTCAGGTCTGTAGGTGAACCAGACCGCTTCGTTCATTGGACGCGGCAAGCATGGTCGTTCGTCTACACGGCTCCACTGATTGGTGGACGTTTAGGTGCACTGCTGTGTTACTCGATTTTTGTTTTACTGTTAAAAATGAGGGCCCTCATGGGTCCAAAGACGCTATTATTAATGGACGCGGACGAGCCATATATATGTTTTGTGATTCAGACGTGCCATGATCGCTTATTTATCCTTGCTTACTAAAACGTTTACCCCTGAAGGACCGACTGTGACAAGATTCCCCTACCCATTGGCCTTATCCGCACTGATGGAGTGTGGGGGCCGACTTCAAACAAATTGCGGCTCTCATTCGCCTGTCCTCCTATTTCTTCGCGTTTCGTGGCTCTGCGCCACAAACGGTCTTCGGTTCTCTGGTACGTGCCAGTATCACGTGACCACACATTTCTACACGTGACACTTGCCGCTAAGACCTAAGCGAAGACATATGGACCATACAGAGCACTTGACTTGGCAACTAAGTGAACTTAAAGCCTTGCATTTCTGACTTCAGTTTGTAAGTGTTTTGTTCCTTTGCTAATCATCCCTGTCTTTCATTTCAGACTTGATTCCCCGAAGCTCTTCAATTTGTTTTTCTTCGCTTCGTTAAGCATGGGCGTCTCTGTTATGGCTTCTTCCTTTTGCAAGCTAGTTATTTACGATAAAATGCATAGAGATGCGTCAGAGTCCCTCCAACCGGTTGACTGGATTGGAAAACTGTTATCTTTGGCCTGTTTTGCCTTCGGATTGGTAACCTTTGGACGGGGTTTCCTTCTGACTCGCTCTGAGCTACCGTATATCGCATCCGCGCGAAACGGAATATCACACGAAGCTGTGTATCGACGAGTGCTTTTCATACTGGTCGACGGATTGGCTTTCGAATTCATCCAGCCAATATCGAACAGATATTCCTCTTCCATTAGAGGTAGTTTACCATTCACATCCGGGCTGATAAGATCTTCCAAGGCTCAGCTGGTTCATTTCATTGCTGACCCTCCGACCACCACATTGCAACGCTTGAAAGGGCTCATGACCGGGAGTATGCCAACTTTTGTAGATGCTGGATCCAATTTTGGTAGCCCCGAACTCAGAGAAGACAACTTGATCCTGCAATGGCGTCTAGCCCATAAGCGAATATTGTTTGTCGGTGATGACACATGGCTGCAGCTATTCCCACACAGGTAGGCCTTTATTATATATCGCTCTGTAGTTTGTTTACGAGTTGCATTATATCGAACTGTATCACCACTAGTTGTTGCTTTTTTCTGTCAATTAATGTTATGGATTGACCCAAGCAATGACCTTTCCACAAACTCTTTCGACGAGCTTAAGACTGTCACGCCTAAAGGTACCGAATGCTGATATATTCACATCCCGACTTCCGATGGCGGTGTAGCGTCAATCACGACTAAGCGCGCTTCATGTGCACTGCGGATTTCGGCACCGTTGTCATGCCTTGTCGCCTTACCCCCAGTTCTGCCTTCAGTTGTTCTTAAAACCCGACAGAACTTAGTAGCAGCTCCCTAGTCCGGGTCATTACCACAGCTATGCCCACTGTTAGATGTGTCACTCATGTTATCTCACGAATGGTCTGCTGCAGTTAGAAATACTCGGATCTGTCTCGAAGCATGTGGTTATTTCTTACCCAACCGACACCCTCCGTACCTTAGTTTAAGTGACATGAAGAGCTTAGGAAACATTTGGCCTCCGTCGATCGTTCTTGACTCAGTGTTTGAAATTTCAGCTACTGATAGTCGCTGGTTGGAGATTCTGGAAGTCATGGCTCAAGACGGAAGTGAATGGCGGACACGTATTTTTACGTGTTACGGCAATTTCCCTTTCCTAATAAAGCAAACAATTAAGAAAAAAATCAAAAAGCGAAAAACTGGACAAAAAGTGATTATTTTCCTATTTCGCCATGATTCCGATGGTACAATCTCTGTGCCACAGATCGGGATATATATATATATATATATATATATATATATATATATATATATATATATTATATATATATATATATATATATATATATATATATATATATTTATATATACTAGTTACTCTCATTTGTGCAATAGAAAAAAGTGACGGCCATCTTAAAACTAAACAAATGTTTACAACGAACTCCCTAGTGGGTTCGGTGTACTGATGCGCGCGCAGAATTGACTGGACTGCTGAGAATGCAAACTGCTGTACAGTTCTTAGGGTTCCTAAGTGTTGTTCGGTTTTCCATGTAACCGAAGCCAAAGCGTGTCCCATTGTTGCTCATCCACCTTATGGAGCGGTCGGGCCATTTTCTTGTAGGCACACAGACTCACGCATGCTAATCCAATGGTATCGGACTCTCACCTCATGGTACGGGCGTGATTTTACTTTGCACTGTATCGTTCTAGGCATTACACCTAGTGATTTCTTTCACGAATTAGTCAGGTGATTGACAACGGACCTGTAAGCCGTTTTCTCTATCTGGCTTTCGAACCACCCGATGGGCCCTTCTAGGGTTCTTTTTGCCTTGATCCCTTATCGTTCGTTTCACGCACACAAGGTAAACTATCAGCAGTACGCCAGCACGCAGTACCGACGCTTCGCTGCCGCGCAATCAGCACCAGTCGCACGTGAGCTAAAGATACTGCGAGCATCTCCCGATCCCTACGCAGGCTCGAACCCGCGCCCTCGGATTACAAGGCAGTCTTGTGATTCTTAAGGCTACGGGCTAGTATGCAACCCAGCCTTTTTACTCAATGTATGTAAACAGCTGAATACACGAGATTAATGAGTTCAGATTATACTGCTAAATTGTGCTTGTTACTATTTTGCAAGTTTTATCTATTATTTGTTGCAAGGGTATGTGACTGTTGCCCTTGGCTCCGTGATTCATTGGGATATACTGACTAGCCCCTTTCCGATGCCTTTAAGGTCACTCCTAGTGGATCGGTTAGTGTTTCGTAATCTGACAATCTCATCTCATTATACCGTCTTGGTGAGTTAAGGAGAGATCAGTAAATGAGTCTGAGCTGATTAGCAGCAGTATCGATTGCTTGATTACGCCTATGAGACCATGGACCACGTGACTACCCGTTATGCTTCCGCAGCTCTATCTACATGTAAGCCGTTTACATTCAAACGTTTCGGAATGCTGTTAGCTTGGTTTACCGATTCATTTGTTCGCCGAGCTTGGCAATTTGGCTGCAAACGTTTCGTCACCAATCGATGTGACATCAGTTAGGTGTACGCCGTAACGGCCCTTCGCTGCCGCGCGACCGCCACCAGTCGCGGGTAGATTGCGTATACCGCGAGGACGTCCACCCCTATGCGGATTCGAACCGGTGACCTTATGGTTGCAAGCCAGGCGTGCAGACCACTCGGCCACCGGCAGTTAGTTGTCGCATGGTTGCGAAAATTCGTATCAGGCAAATCTAGGAGTGGGCCGAGGTCCATAGGTGGCGAAACGTTATAACGTATCGGACAGTCGAGCGCCCACGCTCTGGTTTTACATCAAGTTTAGCCTCCGGAGCAAGCAAATATACCAAAAACTGCACTGCAAACCGGTCAATGTTTCTGTGTACTTTTCACTACTGACTAATCGCGCGTAGTGCGTTCGATACTAATTTTTCAACACGTTGCTCCATACATTCACTGTCCCTTTCGTAATTCGCCCTTGATCTCTCCACTACAGTTTCCACGACGCTCGCCCCTATCCTTCTTTCGACGTAAAAGACCTTGACACGGTCGATAGTGCGGTGGAAAATTTCGTAAACTCCGTGCTGACCAATCACTCGATCGACTCCGACTGGGATGTCATGATTGGCCATCGCTTGGGGATTGATCACTGTGGGCACACCTATGGAACTGCGCATCCGGAAATGCAGCGCAAGTTGCAGGAATTGGATCTGTTTATAAGGTTTGTTGCAGTGCGGCCGCAGTGGGAATTACTGTTAATTCTTTCAACGGCATGTTGCATCCGTTATTCCTTTTATCCTGCCTTTCAGCTTAGGATGCGAAGTGGCCGGACTGTGGAGTGCATGTCCCATTCCTGATGTTGCTCATTTAGTCGATCTGATGAGTGATATGCCTATGACAAGAATATGGAGCGCCAATTCGCCTTTGACGTCGTTACCTCCTTCATTCTGAGCATGATACATAGATCTTATTTTCAAGTTGCCCACACTGCTTTTGTGATTAGCTCTCTTGATGCCGCTTTCTGCGGTCAGTGGAAATCCGTTGGCGATCTTCGATCGTTTTACTGCTTTCGGCAGTTAGTTCACTGGCGAAACGGCTGCCGGTATCAGAAAGCTTTTTGAGATTTCTAGTTTTAATAGAAATGAGGGCAAAGCATCAATTTATCAGTCAACAAGCTGTATTACCATTGTGTAGTTCAACGGGAGTATGTCGTGCATTCTAAATGCTATATCAGCTGCAACCTCAAAATACTGACGTCTTTGCGTCATTTCTCTCGTATGTTGTGTGGCAACCTAACGAGAGCTTTTGAGCCTTATATTTTCGGTTTCGTAACAGGCCTTCTATTATTGCATCGAACTACCAAATCGGGTTCAGCCAACCTCCGCATACCCATACGTTGTATGTATCAGTTTGTATTTTGAGCTATACTTTAGAGATTAACCGGTTAGTAACACTAGCAATGCACGTGGTTGTCTGTGTTTGCGCCGAGGATTATCATTATCTTGGATGGGCTCCACTGAGCAGACATCGCGGTGCTTGGAATGCCAATTTTTCACAATGCGGTTCGGTATTAAGGGATGGGCTGATGCTTTTCTCTTATTCCCGACGCATCCCTTTCGGTGCGATGATTTGGGCTTTGTTTGTAGTTTATTTTCCCCCTCTTTCTCTCACTGCCATCCTGACCCCCATTACTAATCCACCTTCTATAATTCCCAGCTTAATTAACAAAAACCAAAGTGCCACTGTAGTAGAACCATCTGCAGCTATCTACCCGCAACACACATCGGACGCCTATTGACAATAGCCCCTTATAAGGCCACGCTGTCCCGTTTCGTTGGCGGCCTTCAACGTTCACACTCCTAGACAAATCGCACAGCAGACTGCACTCTCACACACGTTGGATACACTGGGTATTGACGCGTGTTGTGTGTCCGAAACTAGGATCATTGGCCCTAATGGGGCTCTTGAGTTAACTGCACTCGCCTTATCCTCTCGTTAGTGTTTGCATCCATCCGGGGACGCCGATTCAGCAGTCACGGCTCAAGCTTTGGTATGTATTATTTTGAGCTCCAAAGCTGAGCAATCGTTGGATTCCGGTGAACACACGTTTATGTGCAGCCCGCTTGACGACATCAGCTAGGGTTGATTCACGAAGTAGTACAAAAAGCTGTTTGTTTGTAATTTCCTCTTATACTCCCACCGACTGCAGTTCTGGTGCTGCCAAGAACACATTCTATCACGAACTGAACACGCTGCTACGCAGTGCTACTAGTACAGATTTTATAGTACTTACAGGGGCTGTGAAAGCACAAGTAGGGTGTCTGAGCTCTTCAGAAACTCAGCTGGGTAGTAATCATCGGCTTAACTCCAACGTTTGACAACGGCGAGCGTCTGCTGCAACTGTGTGCGGAGCACCCGTTGTTTCTTAGTAGCACTGCTTTTAGACACAGTTGGCGTCGAAGTGTGCTACTTGGCGTCCTCCTGTAGCTGGCCAGCGATAGACCCAAATTGACCACATAGCGGTAAGTTGCAGGTGGCGTGGTTCCATCCTGGATTGCCGCTCGTTCTGGAATACCTGCGTCGACTCTGATCATGCTTTGGTACGCTGTCGTTTCTCCATGAACTTTACTGTATATCCAACTGGTCGGGGTCTGTTAGCATCCAGAAGAAAACTTCCGGCTGTCTCTGAGCACAATGTGACCAGACGGGCTATTAGGCGCGGACTATAGCGGTGCCTACGTGCTGATAAGGAATTCTGGTGGACTAATCCTGCTCAAGAAGTAGAGGAGGTGGAAGCAGTAGGCAATTACTGCAAGCTCTTCCAGTTGATCCGCACAACCTTCCAGGAAACCAGGCCTCAGTGGGGCAATAAAAGACGGCGCGGGTGCACTGATACACAATAAGATACGCTCGTTGGCTCGTTGGGCGGAACGCTTTCAAGCTCAGTTCAGTTGGCCCCCTGCTCCCTGACCTCTTCCTACTCAGGTGATGCAGCATGAGCCATGGCCGGTTAGTTTAGAGCCTCCGTCGGAGGCCGAGTTCCGGAACGCGATCACAGCTCTCAATCGTTTTCGTGCCGCTGGTCCGGATTCCCCCTCCTGCAGTATTTAAAGATGGAGGTGAGGTCCTCTGCAAAGCACTGACCTCCCTATTCGAACGTATCTGAAAGGAAGTGTCCCGGCTAATTGGAGCGAATCGATTATAGTTGCAGTATACAAGAGGAACAGTCGGTAATCACAGGGTATTGGCCTAACGGCGGTTGTGACAAAATTACTGGCCTCGATTTTCGTTCGTCGCCTCACTGTGGAACGGGGGTCTCTTATTAGGGAATAGTAGGCAGGTATCCTCTCAGGACATGGCTGTATAGACCATATATTCACTCTGCAGCACCGCGCAGACCGACAATAGCTGTATTTCTCGATTTCAAAAAGGCTTTCGATTAAGTCGATCGGTGCATTCTGTTCTAACTAATTGCACGAAAATGTGCATTATTTTCCAAATCGTGGGACACTTACTCCGTAATCTACGACTAATTTTCCTCTGACACTGTGATGATATTTGTAGATCACTAACTTTCTTTCCAATAAATGCTGACTGGCTAGCTAACCAATAATAGCGGCAATTAGACCATTTATCGATCTTAACGTCTCCTATCTTATACCACCTGGTCGAATCCCTAAACCCACACACACACACGCTGTTGCTCCTCTGCGTTCGCTTCATTGCACGCCTGCTCTGTCTGGGGCCGCATTGATCTTGCTTCCTGATGGGTTGCGTCAATATGACATTGGTTAACTCTGTTCACTCTGTATTGGCCCTCTACTTCCAAATCACGCATTGCTTCCATCCGCTCAGCCTACCAACTGCGATGGAACCTTTTGCTCTCAGCCTGGACTAGATGAAGCGCGTGCTGTTCGTTTGCTTCGTTAGTACCACCTCGAACCAATTCTGCATTGTTTGTTTTCTCCGTGCAATATTGATCAGACCGCATAGAACAATTTGTTTGGCTTTCTGTCCTGTCGGATCCCCTCGCTTAAACCACCGCCACTTTCAACTGTGTACATCGGTGCGGTGCAATTGGCACTGGGACCGGAAACGGCTGCGTTGCGTTTTGACCACTAGTGTCTGGGCGCTCGACGTATGGCGACGAGTCTTTTGCGTCGCTCCGATTCGTCTTTTCGAGTAGAGTCGTTTGTCATGGTTGAATCACTCTCTCGGATACTTATCGATCGTCTATCTCTGCGTCCGTTGTTTGGTAGTAATTCACTCAGCCGAGTGAAATCTAAACTTTGTCTACCAGCGATGTGGCGAATGCACAAGGTAACCGACCGCTAGCTTTGCTCGGACCGCTTCTTGGAAACCCTAGGAGGGAAATATAAATTGTGCGGCAAGCCTACAAAGGGGTGTCGTTTGGGACTTACTTGGCTATCCTACTGGTACTGGACGCTCCAAATGATACTCTTTACAAGGAGACGTATCCAAATTTAAAAAATGCATGTATCATCCACTAGGTTTCTAGCGAAAGGTTGGCTTGTTTGCGCCACAACTTGATAACTCTTGAAAAGATTTTCCATATGATCTGTAAAGCGAAGCTCGACCTTTATTATCATTTAGAGAACACTATTGCAGACATTCCTGTTATTTGGCAGTATCTTAACATACACGCGGAGCCCACTTTGCCACTCGTCCTGTAGATCTGGAATACAAAGTTCCTCGTCGTCTGTTAACTCACTTAAGAAATGTTTTAATTTCTGCCAAAGAACGGTCATTTCAAACACTTTCTTTAGATTTACATCAATGAAATACTGATTCTGAGCAATTAACAATCCGATCCGCAGATCTCCACAACAGAATCCTTATTCTCTATGGACTTATTTGTATTTTTCGATGGTTTTCGGCGCAAGAAATTCTGAGACCAAACAATACAGCGATTGAGCCCTAACTCTCCGTGTATTTTCCTTTTCACGCAACTTAGCGTCACATCCTATCCTGTGCACATCCTGTAACCTATTTCACAATTCCCATGTTTACATAATCATTTCAGAACAAGTTTCGGTCTGTCATTGCCTCTATTGCAGTTGTTTTTCACATATTACTGCCCGGATTGTTCTCGCTGCAACCATCTCTGTACAAAAAAACTAACATGCCTCACACTGAGCATCCTGTCCTATCTAAATCAATCGTTTCACTGCATTTATTTTATGCACCGCGTTTGTCTCCATGTGACAATGCTCAAAGAATTTTGGAATTTTTTAATCCTCCTTTGATCCGTTATGTTCATGACCAAACCTCCATAATCATGCCAAAATAGTCGTGTCTGGCGCCGTCGTGAGTAAATGATCCTTATTTATCTATTTGCTCACTGTCTTCTTCTTGGTTGGGTCACCTGGGTTTGGCTACGCCAGTTGTCAGTCCCACCTTCGGAAATGGCGTTCTTGTCTCAGATTTGTTACCTCCACCTATCAGGTCCTCCTTCCATAGATCAAACACTTGCACTTCTGTCCCTGTTTGCTCGAATTCGTTTTTCTCTATTTCCCATTGCTTTTACTTTCATAGAGTATGGCATTGAGTATGGCTAATACATTCGTTAGATACCTAAAGCGATTTGAGGGATATGCTTCGCGGCAAATCATATTTGGATCATTCAACAGAGTGAGGAAGACCGCACTCTATGAACGAGTTCCTGTTATGGCCTTTGTATAGCCACGGTTGTTTTAAGCATCTTCAGGGAGTGTATTCTACTCCCGTTGGAGTATCTCTGAGGTCCTGTATAGAAAACTTGGAAGGTGTCCTTAGCAAAACTTTAGATCAAATCTTCCTGGATGGAACTGTTGCTACTTCTGACCATGTCTTTCCCTAGCGATCCCGGACAGTTTTCTGCCACCTGTATCGAAAAAGGCCAGTCCGTAGGCTAAAGGTAACGAGCTTGCTTTGTAATCCGCGACGCAGGTTCGAGCGTGCGTAGACGCAGGGCAACTCTCTCACGTACGACCGGTGGTGCTTGCGCGGCAACGATGCTTCAGTACTGTGTACCTTCGTACTGCTAATGCTTTTGCCTATCGAAAAACGCCTGGTTGTTTGTCAGAGTTAATCTACGCCACGTTTCCAAGTAATTCGGTACGGAATGTCTGATTCAGACTAGACTGCAAGTCTGTTTGAAGTTTTACATTTCCAGGGATGTACTTCACGAGCTCAGACTTGACTGAGTACCACCGGTCATGAATCCGTTTCTTCACATGCCTTTCGTATCCGCTCTCTATTTACTCACATTGTACCTCAAGCCTCTATTACGAACATTTTTATCATTATACTGTAGATAAATAAATTGATATATTGTCCGACGAGCGGGATACGTTCCCACTTGTGGGACCATCATTTACATGATTTAGCTTCTAGATCGAAGTTTCGACTGATATCACCGTTGCATTGGTTCATTTTGGCAAACACATTTTCATAGGTAGTCCCTTGACATCACAACCACCCCTTTAGACGATTGAACTTCACCTGTCTCAACAGCAATCACACCTGATCATACGATGGTTTTTTGCAGGACACTTGTTGACAATTTGCACGATGACGATTTGTTGTTGATCCTTGGTGACCACGGTATGACCGTTTCTGGTGACCACGGCGGAGATAGCGTCGCTGAATTAGATGCAGCCCTTGTGTTATACAGTCGCAGGGGACTACCAGACCGCATATATTACATGGATCAAATTTCTCAAATCGATCTGGTTCCAACTTTGGCCACCTTATCCGAAGTCTCTATTCCATTCTCCAATTTGGGTGTCTGTGTAGAATCCTTTTTCCCCACGCCCGATCACTTCCGTGATTGTTTAACGAGGAATTTTGTTCAGGTAAGCTTTAAATCTTTGAATTCTTGTCTGTATTCACTTGCTGAAGCACACATTTCTGTTCACTTATGGTTTCTCGCCTCTTATGCATCTCCTGAATGTGTCTCACACACACGCGCATACACACTATACACGTTAGCTAGAGGTGGGAAACACCTCAGCTACTGTGCCGCAATACCTAAAAGAGAAAGGGAATAAAGTGCAACAGATGCTAGCCAGCTGCGTTACTGGAAACGGATGAGCATCGTTCCGGTAAGCTATCTGCCGGCTACTATGCAGCAGGAAAAAAATAATTCACCATGCAAAATTATAAAATGCTAAATAATGAGATTGCGGTTGGAGGGGGCGGCTAAGAAGGATGGGGTGGGACAAAGAAACTCACAGCAGGAACGCCACTGAGGTCGACTCCTAGCCATATCAACAAGTGTATCCAGCCAAACGTGTTCATCCTCTTTCGGACCCTAACCAGGGAGTCGAGACGCTCCAACTGAGGCCAGCTTCGAAGTGAAGGCCTTCATTCCTCTCGACTAAGTCATCGCTTGGCCACCACCCTCCTCTTCCATCCACATCACCAGCGCGCAAACAACACACGTCGCGGGAGTCGGTGGGCTGGCATTTATAAAAGGTGGCCCATCCATCGGAGCCTGGTGCGTGAAATAACGGTGCTGAGCGGTTCATTTCATTTTCCTGTGCCGTAAACAAATCGTCCAACACGCTCGTTGCTCACGCTGTGTTCACACTAAATGTGAGCTAAATTACGAAGGCACCGGTGGTCGAACGTAACTAGCCTTTTTAGGTCCGCTGATCTAAGGGGCCAGGTTTCACAACTGTACAGTAGGGT